CTTCTTTGTGTGCCATGTTTAAACATTAAAGCATTGTAAACTGGTTCTTTTTATAAAAAATATTTACTAATTTAACCACTAGCCTGCTTTGGCAACACATTTCTACCCATGTGACCAGTGCAGATTAAGATTAGCCATATATCTGTGCCATCTGATCATGGTCTGCACTTTTGGCTGTTTGGTCAGTAAATATTTTGAATTTTTCCCTTTATGTCCTGATTGATTTAAGATGCTTTAATTGAGTAAGTACATATTTTGAAAAAAAAATCTGAAAAATTGAATGGTTTTTGTCTACAAATTGAAAGGTGGATATTATATAAATATAGCATGTCAAGTGTTTAAATCTTTTGCATACCAAGAATAGGGTTGATTTAAACAGGCATGTGGAAGAGTGTAATGCTTTTGTCATTATCTTCATCATTTCTGTGATTGGGGATATAATGTAGAGACTATATATACACATTTACATACACACTAAATTGCCGTTTTACTGGAATAAGTTAAATGTAATGGTCGTATTATACATATTATATTTACAATGTATATAGGAACTAATGTCACATTATGTGCATGCTGATAATAATTGCCTGGATGAAACTAAGTTTCATTACGAAATTTAAAGTATAAACGGTCATCAAAGTAGTGGCAAAATTAACTAATGCTGTTTGGTTTGAAAGCATTGATCTTTGGGAATTGCTTACAATCCTGGTAGACAGGAGCATGTTACAGAATCAATACCCCTCTATTTCACCTTTCTATATAAGAACTTCACTTTCTATATAGGAACTTTCCCCCGATATATTTTTATGGAAATAGCTGAAAGAATAATAAAAGCTATTCATATTAATCATGTCTATATAGTATAAGAAACAAGAAATTTTGTACACTATAAATAAATGTCCAGTTTTGGTTATAGGTCATTTCTTTCTGGTGTTTCATTTTGTAGATAATTTATTTTTTGCCGAATCTGAGTTGATTTTGTTGTTATTATTACATTATATTCTGAGAAAAACAATATTATCTGGAGTAATAGTAGCCTTTATTATGCTTCTTCAGATATTTTTCCATTAGCAATGAGAAAAAAGTAATGATTTTTACATTGGATTTAATATAGTAAATCTATAATGGTAAGGTGGAAAAGTACATTTTGCAAGTCCAATTTCTTAGACATATTAAATGTACACTACTAGATTGATTATAGATAATATAAAGTAGCACCGTGAAGAAGACCAGCTAGAATGTATTTGACTTTAGGGGGCTGGCATATTCAATTGTCCGTATTGCCCAGGTTGTCCCGAAACCTGTACGGACAAATGAAAATTTTCAAGAATTAACTATGTAAATATCATACGGACAAGTTAAAAAATGCTTCGCATTAAAACAGACAAGTAAGTCAAAATCAGATTTTGCCAGCCCTGCAAGTGAAGTGAGTGAGTGTAGATGTCACTTTTCCATAAGGCAACCACCACTATACTTAGGTTAGGGTCAGAACCACTACATATTTATAATTTTATTTTTTAATTATCAAGAAAAAAAAATGTTTTAATGGATGCAGTATTTAATTTAAATTTTTGAATAGAATAATTTACTTACTGTAGCTTTGATCGTTTTTTAAGCTTTTCCTTATAGGAAGCTTAGCGAGATAACTTCAGTTCATTCATATCAAATCTTGTAATTTATTGTTATATCCTAAGGGGCATTCATCAGAAAACAAGTCTGTTTTATGTAATGCTTGCTTGCAGAAATTGTTTAACTGTTTTTCAGTTGACACAAATTTAAAGAAATATTGACCAAGAATTTTGTTATTCTCTCTCTCTAAACTGCTGACTTCATGAAACTTTATTCTTTTATTCTTTATTCCCACGCAGTATACATTAACCGAGAAAACAAACCTGCAATAACAACTAAAATTACTCAAGCATATGCCTTACTCAGGGCGCCATGCAAAAACAAAGCTTACTCTATTATTATGACTGCCATGATAGAATCACTATCAAAACATAACTCTCAAATGACATCGCACTTACAAGCATGTTAAAAGCATGACAAATCATGTTTCTTAACATTACTGAATCAGTCAAATACTTTTATGCACAAATAGCATGGAATGAAGCATTGCAATTTTGTTTAAGCATAAACATCTGCAGAAGCCCTCATATTTTTTAAATCTAGCCCTGCAGGTTGCTTATTCACGAAAAAAATCCCTTGACATTCAGTTAAAGGAAGCCTTATCTTTGTTCAAATTGTGCACACTCTGTATCAACATGATCAAGCAGTGAAAATTTTTATATTAAGATAGGTGAAGCACTGGTCTATAATAATTGCTGTAGTTATTTTTTTAACAAATACAAAATTCTCATCAATCAAAGCAAGAGAAGGTTGAAAAAGCTGTTTGCCTGTTAACCCGATTGTCAATATGATTTTGTATAAGAGCCACACCCATTGTTAGTACAAGGTTTTTTTTACCTACCTGTCAAGTTTGCATTTTCACTTTGTCTTTTCTGACTACATCATGTTATGAATTTTGTGGTTTTGTCAATACCTATCACTTTATCTTATTCCATTACAATTTAGAAATTAACATAAGCTCTAAAATGTTTTTACCAGAATCTAATAAATTTAATGGACATGATACATTAAATGAAATCACAAAAGACCTTCAGAGCTAAAGTTCATGCTGATAATCATCTCCTCACTGAAACATAGTTTCATTTCAATTTTTTTACCTATCTACGTAATACACATATTGCTTTGAGATATACTGGGGCGTTCAAGGCAAAGTGGGCGTCCATTGGCTTCATAACACTTGCCTCTCAATTATATTTGCTAACTTAGATACAAATCCCACCAGGGAGAGGAAGCTGTCAAGTTAGAATATGGAGCACTTGAGGTCTTCCTCCTTTAGTAAATCTGGAAAGTTACCACATGACCTTTACTGTGTTGGTGCGACATAATACCAAACTAGAAACAAAACAAACTTTGCGTTGTTTACCTTCTTGTCATTTAAATTGTTGCACTTAACTGAATATTTCAATAAATTTATCACAATCAGTGTATTACATATAAACTTCTTACTCTTTTACATGGAAAATATAACACATTATTGAGTCTGGTCAGACTGTAGTAACAGTACAGCTGGCTGGCTTGCTAGTCTATGCTGCTGATATAGGCAAAACATCATATTAATACAAATCAATAGGAAAATGCTGACTTTGCCAAAAAATTGTATCTCAAAACAGTCTTTTATATGAATCTATTCAAAATGAAATACTGTATTGGAGTGAAATAGGGTAGATTTATTTAACTCTGTTTGGATATTTGTTTACAGACATGGGTTACTTCTTTGGAACATATCAGTTATTATAGAACCACATGTTTTCCCATGTTCACTATTGTAGGGGTGTTATTAGAAAAACAAAACTGATGACTTCTTTGCCTGAAGAATTTGCTTCTTGTTGAACTTTTTTTCAAATGATGTAAATTTGAAGAATCATAAATCTAATAAATGTTTTTGTTTCATTTTTTTTTTTTTTTTTGTAATCCCACAAAAAATCCTTTTTGAGATTCTGTGGAAGAAGGAAATACTATCAAGAGTATTTTTGAAGTTCTAACAAATGATAAAAAGCAGGATGAATCCCCTGACATGCAATTAAAGCCTCGTTTGTTCAAATTGTGCATTTTAAGCAGTGATAATTCAGTTTGAAGAAAGTAACGTTAGTGAATCAATGTAATTATTGCTATTGAAAATTCTGACAGTAGAAAATTCTCATTTATCAAAATTAGAGAACGCTGAATTTATTGTTCTTCTGTTAATGAAAGGTAAAGATCATGAAAATTGATGTTTAACAAACTGCGGATTGTGTAAAAAAATTATGTAATTTTTTTTTTTTAAATCATATCGGAGCAAAATATTTGTGATTAATTAAAATTTGATATTCAGAAAGTTATTTCTATAATTAGCATATTTTTTTTGCATTGTGAATATATCATACCATAGGACCTTTGACTCAATTGTGACATGGAGGTTTGACAATCTGTTGTGTCTCATTGGCCAAGGTTGCTATGGATAGATATATAATTATGGTGGTGGCATAGCCGAGTGGTTAACACGTCAGACAAGTAATCTAAGGATTGCTAGCTGAGTAGGTTCAAACCCCGTCAAGGGCAAGTCGTTGTTATCTTGAGTATTAAGGTACTTAACAAATTCATTGCTCAGTACTTGCAATGATTCCAGGAACAGATTCGGAAGTGTGTTAAACCAAATAGATATATGCATAAGTGTAACTTTCTTGAAAACACGACTGTCAATTTCTATAACTGACAAGTTCCTCATTCTGAAGTCAAGGTACTGTATAATTGTATGTTTGAATGTCCTGACTGTAAGTGTACCATAATGACGAATTTAGCACCAGTAAGTCTGTGAATACATTTTGGAGAAAAAGACACCATAAAATATTCATTATCTTCCAACTGCAATACAAAGCTGAAACAGAAAGGTTAAGGGAAGCTGTTCTATAAGTGGTAATAGGTTACTATTATCAAAGATTATGAGTCAGAATAGAAAAGTTTAGAAAAAGCTGCTTTCATAAGTGATGATAGTTATACTAATCGGGCTTCTTTCCACAAAGATTATGAGTCATCGGTTTTACAGTTTCTACATAGGGTCCATCTTGTACCTCGATAATGATTGTAAGGCTTTATGCCTGCTTGCATGTAACAAATAGAAAGTTACAATTAATATCTGACCTTAAATTGCTTGTACTGTTAGAATAATAGTACTTCAAATTTCAAGGTCAAAGTAACACCAGAATATCTGAAACAAGTTAACAACAGGCTCGCAAATTTTTGCCTGACATATATCTCTGAAATTGAATTTGAAAAGAAAAATGCAAAGTTGGATTTATGTCATACAGCCTCCTATAGACAGTGACTAAACCTCCTATGCAGAAATAATTGATGTATTTTATATATTTGTACATAATTGAATGTGTGTTTTTCAGGACACTGCGGGTCAGGAGAGATACAGAACTATAACTACAGCGTATTATAGAGGAGCTATGGGATTTATTCTAATGTATGATGTAACAAACGAGGAATCTTTTAATGCTGTTCAAGATTGGTATGATTTTATGTTATTACCATAAGATGTGATGATAATGTCATTGTACATCTGGAATCAGTAGCCCCTTATATGCTTGTATTTGAATCCCAGAAGGAATTTCATTGGAGAAGGCTCACCAGCTATATAATTATGGAAGGGTTGTAGCTAAATTACTCTGATACATCTATCAGCATGTGCCAAAGAAATACTTTTTTTATCAATAAAACCAGACTATAACAGTGTAAAACCAGCACCATGTGAACCATAATGATGTGACCTTTCTAATGAATATTACGCACACTATGAAAGGTCATTATATATTCACAATTAACACTTGTTTTAATAAGAAGAATTTCACAACAAATACTTATACATATTTCTCTGTATATGCTCATACTAATATTATACATATTCATTGGACATGTATTCCTTGAAGGAATTTGCTTGTAACCTTTAATATAACGGTCTCTTAGGAACAAGCTAAAGTATACAATGAAAAACATAAATGCAATACATGTACAGGGTTTACATGGAATTGTATCATATACATGTAACCACATAAAGGAAAAAAGACATGTCTGGTTAAATCACATTTCAGAGAAGCAAAAACATTTATCATCACATGGTTTGAAAGCAAGTCGGCCAGTTTTAACACTTCCCATGCTCAAATATCTTAAATGGACTTTCAACCTGATCGAAAACATTTGTCATTTCAAGAAAAAAATCATATTGTGCACTGACTGAATAGCAAACAGTGCAGACCATGATCAGTCAGCAATGATGTGCCGGCTGATCATGGTCTGCACTGGTCCCATGCATAAAATATGTTGCCGCCAGCAGGCTGGAGTTCGGCTGGAGTTCAAAGCAAGTCTGTCCGATTTCATTAGCTTTTTATGTACAATTTTCATGTGTGTTAAATAGCAGAGACATTATATATAAATAATGTTCTAGAGAATCGGCCATAAGATGATGAAAACATCATAATTTTACCATGTTAAAGTTTAGAAAAAATAAAATTCTTAGATATAGCTTTATATCCTGTAATGTAAGCTCCTAACCATAACAAGTAATTCGAAATAAGATATAAACGATATCATGATTTTGATGTTGAAATGGAGTATGACTTCAATTGTAATGGCCAGATTAGATTATATTGATCGTGTACTTTACTGCAGGAATGAGAATGCTACGATGGTTAGGCGACTGAAATATTTACGCAGCAAATTAAAAGTAATTTAAGAATATGTTTCATATTTTAGCAATTAAATTTGTATCCGTGAGGAGTAAATTGGATAGTCTGTTTAAGTTTTTTTTCGGGGTCAGCTTACCGTTTTAAGCACAGAAAAACTGAAATGTTAACTTATAAAGCCTTAATGAATAATATGCATTGTAGTATGTTAGGCACGTTATGAGTAATATTATATAGAAAACAGTATAGAGCCTTAGTTTGACAGATTACATGGATGTACAGACTGGTCTGGGTTTCTTACTGTGCTTGCGGCAATGTGATTGGAGTGTGATTGACAATTTTGCATGATTCTGAAACAGTAAATATAGGTTATAGGTATAAGTCTTATTGCCATTATGTATAGGATATCCACCAAGTATGAGGTCTTTCTGTTTAAGAAAGGCTTAGCCATGAATAATAGGTACAGGTCTTATGCCGGCTCGCCACGGCGAGCCGGTATTACGATAGGATTTTACTGAGAAACAACCTAAAACTCCGAATACATCCACAAATTTAATCGAAGCTTGGCTTCCAGCTTTCTATAAAAATTTATCTAACAGGGCTAGGATCCAAAATTATTTAGCCAATCAAATTTAATCTTACATAGCGTCAAAAAACCTTCAATTTTCACGCCATATTTAAAAAGCAGCAGGTATTGTTTTGAGCGCAAAGATATTATGATTATTAAAAATGTTTGTTTTCATGAATTCTTTTCAATAAATCATATTAACACTGACTTTTGATTTAGCGATTTCACCTGTTTCTCTGTAGTAAGTTTTCGTTTGGTTAATTAACATAAGTGTACACCTGGTTCTGTGCATTTTTTCTTTTTCATTTTTTCCGGTCATTTTATCCTTTCCGGTATTTAGTGTATATATTTACTGGCCGGGATCCGGGACGCCCGGACTGGCCGGGATCCGGGATCGTATAAGATATAGAGGAAAAACTTATAAACTATATTTGTGTTGATTATTGTCGTAATGAAAGGCCATTAAACGTTAAGTTTTTTTATTGTATGTAATGAACGTTAAATTAATTAAACTTTGGATATAAATATATTTAGAGCTATTTATCAACAAACTTAAAAATCACAATACTTATAATTATATGCCTAATTAATTGGAAAAATCAACGACTACATTCTTGAATTGGTCAAATCCCGGGATCCCTTTATGTTTTAATGCGATCCCAGCTTTTCTGAAAACTATATTCTTGAACTGGCCAATTCTTTGGATCTCTTTATACTTTAATACGATCCCGGCTTTTCTGAAAACTATATTCTTGAACTGGTCAATTCCCGGGATCCCTATATGTTTAATAGGATCCTGGCTTATCTGAAAAGCATCTAAGACTGGTTAATTCCCGGGATCCCTATATTTTTAATAGGATCCCGGCTTTTCTGGCAGAATTAATTGACAACTTGTGTTTACTTTAGGAATTGTGTCTGTCACTCATTCCAATACTAAATATCATATTACAACTTAACTTCGTATAAAGAGACATCTTTATGAATTCTACCTATCTAACATTTATTTGGTCAAGGTCAAAAGGCCATTGAGTAATTGTGCATAGACATAGGGACTTCATTCTATCTGTTTACATGCATCTTCATATATACTCATATTCCTCTTTGTTAAACTGAGTGAAACTGGCTTCCATAACTTTATGTCACTTTTATTTTGATGTTCGCTGAAGTCTCTTCAGCTAGCAGAACTGTCATTTTTACATTAAAACGCACCCCTGGAAAAAAATTACGAAGCGAGTCGCTACTAGCTTTTTTAAAAGCTAACCTTGTTGTAAATTATGTTAAGATTACTGTCTTAGCTGGAAAATGTGTTACAAATTCCTAAAAGCAAGGAATCTTGTACAACCATTTTGGGAATTTTTACTGCGCACAGAGTATACACTTGGGGAAAATTTATAACTTTTGTCTTTTGGAATGCCCTTTACTTTATTGAGAAAATATCTGACATAGTGCGTTTGCGACCCGCATGGATCCAGACCAGCCTGCGCGTCCATGCAGTCTGATCAGGATCCATGCTGTTTGCTATCAGTTTCTCTACTTGTAATAGTGTTTGTAAGTGAACAGCATGGATCCTGATCAGACTGCGTGGATGCACAGGCTGGTCTGGATCCATGCTGGTCACAAACACATTACGTTGGTTTTGTCGTGACGCGGCTCATTTGATCTTTGCAGACATTAATAGAATGATACATGTTACATAAACCACCATCATGTCTAGGCACTTTCTCTCTGGTATGATAATTATGCTTTGTAAAGTACAGTAAATCTAAAGGGACTCATTATTATCTACATAAATCATGGATTTTCTAATATTCTACTTTTCATATAATGTTTGAGAGGCATTGTCTGAAATTGTATAAATAGTACAAATAAACTTGTTTCATTTTGAAAACTTTTATCTAGATATAGGCTAAAATCACTTTTATTAAGTACCTGTCTTATGACAAGACTCAGGTGTCTGAGAAAATATAGTTTTTTCTACAGTTGGGCTTGAACTCATGATTTCTGAGTAAAGATGTAAATATTAATCATTTAAACAATGCACTATAAAGATCTTTTATAGCTGATTTTATTGATAAAATATAGCTCGTAATATATGAAATACAACTGCAAAATCAAATACAACTGCAAAATCTGATGAAATTCATTGTGAAGAATATTTTTCTTGGCTGACTTAAAATTAGCCAATTTCCTTATTCAGCAAATTTACAGAAAGATTGTTGCAAAGCTTTTTTAATAGCTCAATTTCCTTATACATGTACATTAATTTTGTTATTTGCTAGAGTGCCATAATTTTGTTCACATGTCAAAGCACCCTTTTATTGCTTTAGAACAATTTACTTAATTTCTCGTGTTCAAAGACAATATTTTATCTTATCTTTTACGTCATTAGTTTATTTCATAGAAACTTTTCCTTTAAATCTCTGATGAACTGTTTATAAAGGCATGTTTTATGGCAAATTATCGACACGTTGTCTAACAGTTGATCAGAAAACTCGGTCTTTCAGGATTCTGATTATTTCCTGCCAAACCTTAATAACGCATCAATATTTCTATTATTTCCTGAGGCTGACTAAATTTTTATACGAAATCATGATATTTCAGTGACCACAGCCTAGTTTTCCTTGGAAAATTCTGTAAATGATATTAGCACGGTCTGACGGATGAAATCAATAATATTTTCAGAAAATATTTGGTATTTTTTGTATCAATCTTTATAACAGATTATAGCTGTGTTCGTTTTTGTTTTAATTAATTTTGCAAGAGTTGTGTATCCTATAAATAAGGTTGTAAGATGGGAACTTAATTTGAATTGAGTATTCTGTATACAGAGTCTGAGAAGTAATAAAATGTCAGTTACAGAATAAGGAAGATTTATTTACTGTTAGGGTATAATGTATATGATAGCTCTACATAAGGACCAGTAAGATGTCCAAATTATTTTTTTCTTGCATTCAAAATAATCAAATTTGAAAGCTCGGCCATGCACTAGTAGCTCAGAGTCTCAGACTGCTATAGCCACTTAAGGCATAATACTTTGTTATATCTTACAGAAGGTTGTTGGTTCTACTAATGTGCTCACTCATGACTGAAATCAGGGGTGTAGGCAGCTTTTTTCAAGTTGTAGGCCCATAAGTTGTAGGCCCAGAAGCCAAAAAAAGAGAGCGAAATGCGCCTTCCAAAGACTGTATTTTCATGGAAAATTATCAAACTATGAATTTGATTAAATGCAAACTTTACTGCATGAGGACAGTAAATCATGCTTAAAGACATTTTTGGGAGTTTTCATAGAGACATGTAGGCAAAATTAACAAGAACGGTGACCCAAATTTTTTTTCCGCTTAAAATGTTTCTGTTATCATATTTAACAACATGCCAAGTTTAAAGAAATTCTATTGAACAGTTTTAATTTTGCCTATATGTCTATATGAAAACTCCCGAAAACGTCCTTAAGCCTAAAACACACTTGATTTGACAATACAGCTTGAACCCACTACCAGCCCCACCCCTGCCTGTCTTTTATGTATTTTTGGGACTTTTGAAAATGTCAATTTCTTGACCAACTTGTAGGCTCGGGCCTACATGGCCTAATAGTAGCGACAACACTGGAAATATACAATATATCACAGCAGGGATCATTCTGGTCAGGATTTTTAGTGAGAGATTTTCTCTCATTTGAGAAATTTTAATGAGAGAAATTAGATTTTCTTGAGAGATTTAATTTTCATGATGGGCGTGGTTAAAAATATGGAAATTTCTAACTTTTTAAAATCACTGTACATACAAACATTGTTTATCTAATGAGGATATAGATGTAGCTGTTTATTACAGAGATTTTTGTTTTCACTTTTTTGATTCATCCTGTGACTTTTCTTTTGTGAATTCTTAAACATAATAAAATTCTAATTGTGAAAAATAAATATAACACTTTCATTCTGAAATATAAAAGAATTATACATGGACATCTACTACAACTATTATTTGCAGCCAATGTTCCTAATGGACAACACTGTACTCTACAGAAGTGATTGTTGAGATTTAAAATATTTTTTATAACCTTACATTTTGTTTTCTTTATGATTCTCTTCACACACCTCCCTCCATTAAAAAATATTCATTGAATATGTGACCTGAACACAAAATGACAAATATGTCCATATCCACAAATATAAACAAAACCTAAAGTAATTTTTATAACATCATAAACATCATTTAAGTGTTATAAAACACCTTTAAATAACACTCAGCTTCCTTTTAGTATTTTTTTTAATCACGACATCGCGAAAATATGTGACAAATGAATATTTGTCTGTTTTCCGCTGAAACATTCACAATTCTAGCTGTTGCTGATTGCAATTATATAAAATTAAATATTTTCGTTCAATAAAAGAATATTTATTATCAGCTATTTCATCAGAAATCGTAAAACAAATTTTTTTAATTTGTTCTTTACGGCAAAATTTACCGTGGTTGATGTGACATTTAGAAGATAAATTTTACCAGTATTTGTTTTTTGACATGTCCATTTTTATGTTAGTCTGTGTCTAACAATTTTTATTAATATCAATTAAAAGTGTTTTGTGTAAATTCTCGACTTACAGATAAAGGTTAGCCATCATACCGTATTTCTGTACGGTGAATTTGCGGTTTCCGATCGGCAATTATTTTAGGCTTAATAATTCAAAGAGTTGGACTACTTTTTGGAGTTTTTTTCACACCGATTTCATTAATAAACAATTTGAAATTAAATTCTTGATAGGAATCGTAAATTTTTCATCATATCTTTGTGTGATTTTAGCATTCTTTAGATTGTGATTAGACATTTTCCGGCTCAAATTACCGTGCGAGATTTTCTCTCATTTCACAAATTTCTCTGAGATTTTGGTGATTTTTTTGCGAGAAATCGCGGAAATCGCCCCCTAGAATGATCCCTGATCACACAATGACAGATATGTGAAATATTCCTCCATCTTAATGACCATAATGACCTTTTGCAATAAAACCCAATATATAAATAATTGAACACTGTACATTTTTCAATTTCAGGTGCACACAAATCAAGACATATTCCTGGGACAATGCACAAGTTGTTTTAGTTGGTAACAAATGTGACTTAGAAGATGAGAGGGTCGTTTCAACAGAGAGAGGCAAACAATTGGCTGATCAATTAGGTATGCAAATTTATTTGAGTTATTGCCCCTGAGCATGTAACATTTTATAATTTACCATAATTTATACTGCAATGTTCAATTTAGCTTAAACAAGATACAAGTGTAGATGATGATGATGATGATGATAGGATTGTGATTTATTTTAGTCAAAGGTAGAGAGTTTTGTAATTCCTTTAGTTAAAGTGACATTATGCTCATTTTTTTTTTCATTGTCAAATTGAGCTGAACTGGCTATATATTTAAAAAAAAAAAGATAGGCTATTATAAAGGTCATTTACAAATAATTGATAATGTTAAATGTTTAGGACTGCCTAGATTATAAAAAGGCTGCCCCACTCTTTTTAGCAATTAAACATTTATGATATATTTCAAAGGATATTTACAGAATGTCCTGCAAGTCAATGGGTTAATGATTATACACATGAACTACACACAATTATGGCAAAATCATAAGTTATTTTAACTTTATAACTTCATCACCCACCATTAACACATGGACATCTCATTGAGTTGTCTCTTTCATGTCTGATTTTATTTGTGATACCATTAGGATCATGAATGTTTAATAATTCTAGGACATTTAAAATTAGAATATGGCAAGGTTTTTAGATCTTTTAAAACTTTTTTTTATGGAAACATGTGAGTTACAAATTTTATACCTGATTGTGTCTGATAATAATTCTGTTTTACATTTGTATCTAAAAATAAAAAGCAAAAACAAGCAGACCGCATACCATCTTAAATTAATCCTCAAACTTTTTTGTGATATAATTAAATCCAAATAATTTCTTAAAAATGGCATTAAGAAGCAAAAATGATGACATTTTTTTCTTGTTTTGATATTGTATTTGAAAATGACTAAAAACTAGAAGCAGAAGACATAAAACAAGGGACTGTCTGTAATTGATTATATCATGTTAACTTCCGAGTTAATCTTGTGTGAAAACAAGAACAAAAATAGTATAAACGGAGGGTATCGTCTATAATCTAACATCCTTCAGGCTTATTTTTTTATTCCATTTTTAGTTCAATTAAAGTGTTATATTTCAAGGAATCTAAATATAGGTATCTAAATATAGATTCAGTAATTGAATCTGTTGTAAAGAAGCTGAAAATTGATGTTTAGCTTGTTCTCATTGATTGTGACTGCAGATATTTTTACCAGTGTTTGTAAGGATTTTGAACTTTTAAGGTGTGTTTGTAGAGTTGTGTGTGAAATGTGATTTTTTTTTCCAAGGGCTTGTTGTGCAAAATGCTTGTAACTCATGCAATATAAAGAACCATTTTTAACCATTTGGCACCAAGCATAATGATTTTGAACTTTGACAGTGTGTGTGTACAGGTTTGTCTGTTGATGACATTATAACATTGCATTTGTGCAGTAAACTTTTCATCGCTTGCCCAATTTTCATGACTGAAAGCAGTAGGTTTTTGGCATAATGAAACAGCAACTTTTTGCTTGCAAATAGTATTGCAAAAACTTCTGATTTCTGATTTTACAGTTAATTTAAGATTTTTTTTGTTCCAAAATCGTTATCTGTTCCTTACTGCCATAAGGGATAAAGGTTTCCATTTGGTATTAAAATTAAAGCTTGATATGTGTGGAAGCACTCTTATAAACGTAGGATAAATGTTGTTGGTTTGATTTATTGTCCAAGGTGGTGCTTGATAGAGCATAGATATTCATCATACACTATTTCTACAACTACTGCCCTGGATATTTCAAATGAACTTGTGCATCTTTCAATCTAGATAAAATCTTTCATCATTTTTTGTGAAAATTTCAAAATATGTATTGACTGAATAGTAAACTGTGGAGACCATGATCCACAGATATGCAGGCAGATCTTGGTCTGTACTGGTAGCTTGGCCAACAGCAGGCCAAGGGTTATTTTGAAAAGTTGCCTTATGACCATTATGTGTCAATGTGTTTTAAAACTCAACTGATGAAAACAAAACTGCTATCTAAGCCAACCTAATAAATGTAATTAGATGTTAGTAAACTCTGACTTTTGTGCACTAGTTATAAATGAATCTTTAGGTCTGTTTACTGTGAAATGATGAAATCAGTGAAAAAAGTTATACATTTAGATGAATTCTACAAATGAGACGCAAGCCTTTTTCTGTCTGGCTGTCAGTATCTTGTCAATTATGTAGCTAGAAAAAAATAAAACAGAGTGGACACATTGATCTGAGGTGAATATCCAACAAGAGATAAGGTGTTACCATACTTGGACATTATATACACATTTATTTAATAGCATTCGTTTATAGTATAAAATATAGTGAATGTGAACACATGTGAACAAAATAGGATCATCGCAGATTTCCCCTCCCGGAAGTCAATTCCCTTACATTTATTTTTGACAACCTGGAATAATCCCCTCCCATTATTTAAACAGTGTGGACAGTTCCCCTACCTTTGATTTTTTTACTGCAAACAATTTCATAAATATTTACAGGAGGTCATTGAATGTGATTTGCCCCTCAATGTCCCTCAAGGTCAATGAATGTGACTTGCCTCTGAAGATCATTGAATATGACTTGCCCCTAAAAGTCACTGAATGTGACTTGCCCCTCAAGGTCATTGAATGTGACTTGCCCCTCAAGGTCATTGAATGTGACTAAAAAATGTCCCTCAAGGTCATTGAATGTGATTTGCCTTTTAAGGTCATTGAATGTGACTTGCCTCTCAAGGTCATTGAATGTGACTTGCCCCTAAAAGTCACTGAATGTGACTTGCCCCTAAAGGTCTTTGAATGTGACTTGCCCCTAAAGGTCATTGAAGGTGACATTCTCCTAGATGTCATTGAATGTGACTTGCCCCTAAACGTCATTTAATGTGACTTGCTCCAAAAGGTCATTGAATGTGACTTGCCCTTCAAGGTGATAATCATTGAATGACTTGCCTTTTAAGGTAGTTACATAATAATTGCCAAAACTGTTTGATCCCAGCTCGATATTTTATTTTTTTTATAATGAAGAGAGAAGATAAGTTTGCCAGTGCATAACTGATTCTTGGTTGTTCCCATTGTATGCTATAACTTAAGGAAGTCACTTTACATATCTTGTTCCACCAGTTACTTAAGGAAGTCACTTTGCATATCTTGTTTCACCTATACACGGTAGAAAGTTGCCATGTTATCTGAAGGCCAAATGTGTCAGTGCAAATTAAAGCCAAACGACTGGTATAAAATTAGTTCTATTATAATACCTCTGTGATGTGATAATAATAAAAGTGGTATCTTTGTCTATATTAACACAATCTACTTGGCATTTTTTTTTGGTCCAAAAGAAATGAAATTGTTAGGGATTGGTGGCCTTTGATTTTAAAGACAATATTGGCTCCCACTTAATGATATATCATTGTCATTTTTAGGAGGAAATGAAACTAATGTCAGTCACATCATTTAACAATTTTTATTTAATTTGATGTCATAGAAACCTAATGTAATTTCTTGATACTTCCTGATTTCCTCATACAATTAGCAGCTGTTAATGGCATCATACAAATTTATTCTACATTTTTACTTTGTTCCCAATTCAACTGAATTCACTGTAATAATACAGTCTTTTTAACAATTGAACATCATTAGATTTATTAAATAGGCATTGTCACATGATGTGAAGACACATTTTGTAAAAACAAGGTATGAGTCCATTGTAATAAAAAAATATATAGCAGGTTTTTTTTCCCTCTTATTCCCAGTAGAATTGCTTCTATCGTTATTCTAATCATTGAAGAGAAAAAAATAACGCTGGAAGAAATCAATTGTTGTTTTGCAGCCAAGTTCGCATTCACTTTGAAATCAATCAGAAGCGAGTTTTTTTCTGTCCCCGAGGGCTTTTTCCATGGTCTATATCTGCATTATTAGAGGGTGGGGAATAGCTGTTTGTTGTAAAGACATTCAAGACATTTTAAGGTACGCTCCTGGCAGTAATTACGCTGCAAATAAATGTCATAATTCGCATCCGAGGGGGAAGGAAAAATGTCGGGACATATTTTTCACCCTATGGTTGTCAATTATACCCTGTTTGACAGATAGATAGTGAATGATTAGTACAAAATTGCTGAACATGGAATTTTCTGAATTGTCCGAGGGTAGACTTTTTTACTGGGCATCTGCATCCTTTCTACTAGTTCTTAAGTCTTTAAGTATTATTTTTGTGTCGCCTTGAAAAAGGTGACATATAGGGGTTACTTTTGTCGGCGGCGTCGTTGTCGTTGTCGGTGTCGGTGTCGGCGTCGGCATCCCCTTAAGCTTGTCCGGAGCATAAGTCAGTCATTATAAGTTGGATTGACTTCAAACTTGGTATGCATGCTTCTTATAATGACCCGAAGTGCAGTGCATAAGAACCGGTACTCTGCACTTCCTATTTTTTGAGTTATTGCCCTTTGTTAATTTTCATACTTCATTTTTGTCCGGGCCATTTCTCTTAAAGTATAAAAGCTATGGACTTGAAACTTCATAGGATGATAGATCTCATTAAAAAGAAGTGCAGTGCACAAGAAGTGGTACTCTGCATTTCTTATTTTTTGAGTTATTGCCCTTTGTTAATTTTCATACTTTATTTTTGTTCGGGCCATTTCTCCTAAAGTATAAAAGCTATGGAGATGAAACTTCATAGGATGATAGATCTCATTAAGAAGAAGTGCAGTGCACAAGAACTGGTACTCTGCATTTTTTATTTTTTGAGTTATTGCCCTTTGTTTATTTTCATACTCTATTTTTGTCCAGGCCATTTCTCAATAATTACAAAAGCTTTAGACTTGAAACTTAATAGGATGATAGATCTTATTGAATTGAAGTGCAGTGCACAGAAACTGCTGCTCTGCATTTCTTATTTTTTGAGTTATTGCCCTTTGTTGATTTTCAAATTTCATTTTTGTCCTGGCCATTTCTCCTAAACTACATTGTTCACAAGGCGACACATCCGACTCGCGGAGTTCTAGTTATCTATATATCTCAGTCTTGAAGTTTTAACTAGCTTTTATCTAT